TATAGGTTTTTGGAATGCAAGAACATAAACTGATGTGGTGAACAGATAAATCAAGGTATCTAATTTTGACTGAGATCGCGAGACATTTGGATCTACTTCTGATCCAAAACAGTCGACTTTATCTATATATCAGTAGTAGTGAATAATAAAACAAATCAAACTCTTGAACGTTTTAAATTACGCATTATGAGTTGGTAAACGTCTGACATAGCTCTCAAAAGAATCTCGTATCGCTTTTATTTACAGACATTTTTACAACATTCTGAGTCAGAAGAAAGATTGAAAAATCTCAGCAGAATTCTATCTATTACCAAGAAAAATTCATTTAATATTAACAACGAATGCCAGCATTCGTTGTTAATATTAAATGAATTTTTCACTCATTTTGTTCTTTAATATGTTTTTCTGCTTCTCCTTCCACATGCACAACTTGGTGAACATATAGAATTGTGATTTTCCAATCGTTCTTCTGGCTTAGAATCTTATCTCTCAACTCCTTTTTCTTTCGTAAATATATACATGTTTTCTCGTCATAGACTGTTTCTCTTTTTTGTTTATTCTATTTTTTATTTTTCAGTTTTCTTTTACTACACACCCTCTATAGATTGTAAAGTACCTTGGTTTATTATGGTCAGTCAACGTGTACCGTTGGGGTAATTATGGTCAATACAGCAACAATGGCTGTGATAATCTGAAGTTAACTTAGTTTCAACAGGAGATTTCAAGGAAAATAATTAAAAATTATATCATCTTGTAGAGAATTTCAAGCTCTATTACCTGTATGAATTGCTTGCTATTTATGCTTGCCGTTAATTAATTAATTAGAAACTACGAGAACGGGTGTTTTTCGAAAAAGTCACTTGGGGTAATTATGGTCACTCAACTATTTTTCATTTGGTAATTATGGTCAGTCTGTGTAATTCGCACGAAAAAGTCAGAGTTTAAATTCCATTGACTTATAGAGACCGATTTTACATCAATGACAAATAGAAAAGTTATAGACGAGATGGTTCTCTATTATATGAAGTGAAAACTGGAACAAGATCGCTTGTTTCTAGCGATTTGTAGCCGTCTGATGAGTTTTGCTGAATTTCAGCATATTTTTGTACCTGATTTTTGACAGTCCAATTGAGGTGGTACCTGTAATAATTATGTAATTGAAAAAATGTTGAACTTTTCATATTCTTCAGATACTCTTCTATCTTTTGAGTAAAAGAAAAATTTGAAGACACAAATTTTTACTCGAATTATGCAGCAATTGATTCAATGACCTGAAAATGCCGTCATGAAAATGCTGTCATGAAATGCGGTTATGTGAATCAAATGCTGCATAATTCGAGTAAAAATTTGTGTCTTCAAATTTTTCTTTTACTCAAAAGATAGAAGAGTATCTGAAGAATATGAAAAGTTCAACATTTTTTCAATTACACAATTATTACAGGTACCACCTCAGAGAATAAGAGTTATTAAAAAATAATCTATAGAAAAAAAATCAATAAAGTGGAGAAGAAAAGGTAGATTTTATATATTTTCTCTCTTATATAGACATCACAGGGGAACGCTTTACATTATTCGATGATTGCTCGGAATACTTCGATCGATTCGATTGTAATTTTGATGGCTTCGCTTATTTTCTGATTTATCCACCCCGTTTCTATTTCACTGTAATGCAGTTGATAACCTATCTCATTAGTAACGTCAAATATAACTTGAACTGGGTCTTCTTCAGGATAATACGGTACATTTAATAAAAAAATATTATACGGACGACTGTAGCATTTTAGAGATATGCAACCCGAACTGTACCCGTACCCCACCCGATCCAAAGGTTAGGTACGGGTACTAAGTAGTCGGTACGGGTAGAGTAGTTACGGATACGAGTTCTATATTTTTAAATTTATCCGAAAACCGGAAGGTTCTGGTGGAAAACCCACAAAATTTTCGTAAGTTTAACTAAAATACATGAAGGTTTAAAAAAGAATTACTTGAGAACGTAATAGTAAATTCTATCACTTTGTAAAAAAACGTCATATAGAGCTGGCAGATGTCTCATTTTAATCAGAAATTTGCGGGCTACAATCATACCTCATTAAGAAAGGTTCTGGTTATATTTTATAATTTTTGAAAAACTGATTTCCTAGAAAAACGGATCTTCGAAGGGCTAAGAGCCACCCACATGGTCATATTCATAATCAGCATGGTCGATATCCTATAACCCACTAGATTCCGAGCAAAAAGCGTTTTATCACCTCGAGAGGTTCGCTCATTAGTAAGATCTTACTAAGATAATACTGTCTAAGATTTTTTCCAGATTGGATACGAATTTGTTAGGATCTTAATAGTAAGAACGACGACGTTTTCTTAACAATATTCATTCATGATTCGCTGAGAATTTTAAAATTTTTAATCCGCATGATCCAAAACAACAGTTGAACAGTGATGAAGAATGAAGAGAAATTTCATAGTTTCGTGTCCAACCATGGACCTTGATTTGTATGTACACTCTCTAAAAGTTATTGAACACTTTCGAGAGACTAAATACTATGTAGCAGAATCAGAAAGAAAAATAACCGTAAAATCACTTATATTTTCGATGTTCCTTATATAGATGAATGAGAGCACAACAAAGGGCTGTTTTTAAACGGTAAGATCTTAGATTATCTTATCAATATCTTAAAGGATAAGATCTTAGTAAGATAATTTTAAGAAGTGGCTTCGAATCATAACATAAACTTAAACAACTATCACTTCTCTCTTTGAATAACGAACAAAATATGGTTTTACGAGAATAAAAGAATATATAGGAACAGTTTTAAAGTAGAATGTTTATCTAATGCAGAACTAACTGAAACTTATTTGTTTATTATGGATAAAGGTGTTCTTTTCTGTTATAATAATGTACATAGACAACACAACAGGAATTAAATTTCTTTTTACAGTGAAAAAACAGCTGGTGAATAAATATTGAATTAAATGGAAGAAAGAAGAAAAAAAAATATTCAGATCAGTTTGTTTCGTCTAATATGAAATTTATAGCAATTATTTTTCAATAAATTCTACATGACCACATTTATTGAATAAAACATCAGTGACAGTGCACCCTAAACCCGTTTGAGGTTTCGTATTATTTTATTTTATTCTTTCTTATGCATGCTTCTAAAATAGAATTAGAGTAAAGTGTCGAATTGGAACCGCAAATAGATTTGTCCAACTTGTGACTTTAGTATCTGAGTGAGTCTTGAAGCGATTTTTCACCGAATTTTGGGACTTTTATACCTGAAAGTCTTAGCTATTTAATGATCGAAAAATTATTCCGAAATTCCCATCGAAAATGGATCTCTGGGAGATTTACTAGGATCTAAATTAAAAATTTTTTATACAGTCATGTTCAGGAGGTTGAGTCCCGTCGAATGAAAGTATTTCGAAATCTATTTATCTAAAATTGACTAAGTTGACTCACAAAACTTTACTGTATGAAAAAACGAGATGGTTGCATCTGACGCACTGAACTTAATTGTACAGTGAAATGTGTGTGGAATTGGAACCGTCTCGTTCAAGTTACACGGGTTCTCAACGGTTTAGTAAAACCTATTTTCTTCAGTATTTAACAAAATATTGTAAGAAATATTTTGCAGAAACCAATTAACTAACTGTTCTATACTCAGTCGGTCATAGTCATTACGAAAGCTGCAGGATTCCAAAACTTAGGAACAATTTTACGCGTTTAGCGAATTTGTGGTCCAAACATGCAAGAAACTGCGAGTGTAGGGAAAATAACAAGCAGGAAGCGTACGTTGCCAGAGGAACAGAGACGTTGCTGGCGTGTTCCCGCATGTTATTTTCTCTACACTCGCAGCTTCTTGCGTGTTTGTGCCACAAATTCGCTAAACGCGTAAAATTGTTCGTAAGTTTTGGAATCCTGCAGTTTCGGTATGACTATGACTGACTGGGTACACAACGAGCAAATTTCGAGATTTTTCCTTCGAAATAGTAATGATATAATCCCTGAATAATGAAAACATGTATTATCTATTCAAACGGCCGTTTCAACATCATCAAGTTTTCAAGTATGATTGATGTTGGCTTTGTGGTCATAGTAATATGTGCTGAATGCAAGGAATATAACACTTAGTTTAACATGAGTATGAGCATTGCACAGAAAAAGGATACTAAAATCATTCACTCTCAATAATGGAGTCCTAAATTTTGTCAACTTGTTGTAAAACGTCATTCAAATAGCAATAATCACATAAATCGCGTTGTTGGGTTTTCTCACGTTTAGGTATTCGGAGTTCATATTGTAACTTGGTTGTCATTCGGGGTATTCGCTGCTGAAAAAAAGCTCTTAATCTATCTCATGAAGATTTTTAAAAAATAGATGTTACTAAACCGTTGAGAACCCTTGTAATTTGAACAAGACAGTTCCAATTTGCACAGAGCCTAATTGGAACCAAAATGTCCCTCTTCCTGGTAAATCTCCCTGAGATCCGTCTCCGATAGGAATTTCAGAATAATTTTTCGATCATTAAATAGCTAAGACTCTCAGGTACAAAAATCCCCAAATTCTGTAAAAATCGCTTAAAAACCCGCTCAGATACTAAAGTCACAAGTTGGACAAATCTATTGGCCGTTCCAAAATACCTTTTTTGGAAATTACCTTTCTTTTTACAAAATACCTAAATAGTTTTGAATTTTATTTTTTATTTATTTATAAATCAACGTCACTTTATGTCTTGTAATTAAATTTAACAACAAAAGAAAAAAAAACGCTAACATAGATCTTATTTTAAAAGAGTGAGATACTTACGAAACAATGAACTATTCACCGTTGCCAATGGAAGATGAAGATTATGTAGAAAATAGACGAAGTATACCATTAAGTATGAATCCGTCTCATTCAACTATACGCAATTTTCAAACAGGTATTTGCTATTGAATTTTGTTCAAATTTAATCTTAAATGATTATCTTTATTATTGTCTATACAAAGCGCTTCGGACAATGAATATTCTCACTCATGTGGGTGATACTGTTCAATCAACAGCTATCCCCGTGGGAATTCGGCTGATGTTTTCAAGAATAGGTAAGTACACCAGTATACATGTTTTTTCAAATAGTCAAATAATTCTTAAAGAGTTAAAAGGTCTCCGTTTTGAAAAGCGAGAGAATGGACAACTTAAGTCGTCTATTTTTTACCAAAACTTGTCAATAAGCCGTAGAGACACTTCTCATCAAGAAGATGATTTTTTATCAACTGTCTGTTTTCTAGTCAGCAGTATCGTTTCGTACGGTACATTTCTTTCTGTGTCCGAAAAAAATGTACCTTACTTGGAACCTTGTCTTATCCCTTCTGACTCCTGTAACTGCCAGATAACTTAACACATCGAGCTTAAACCTATACGTATTTCAAGATATGTAGATAGTTGAACGAGTATCTACCCTTGGTAAATCCATTGTACGAATATTTAATGCAGTGCAAAGCAAGACCACATTATAGTAATAAACTGCGTCTTTCTAGATCGAAAAAGTGTCATTTTCTGTAACGATTTTCTCGAGAACTAGAAGGTGTACAATAAAATTTTAAACGCGAATAGAGAACTGTGTGTCTGAATTAATAAATAAGTTATTTTCAGTCTTTGCAGATGTTCCAGTGGAGAGTTAGGACATTCGAAAGTACGTGATTTGAACATCTGGGACTTGTAATTTTCTTTATTCAAAAGAAAACGATAATTAATCAGATGAATTAATTCAAGTACATTTATAAGAGAGTACATTACTATACTATGTGATTCATTTCATGACAATGGTTTTATATGTATTCAGCGAATAATTAATGCAATGCCTAGTCCCTGAATGCATTACTGTTTTAAAGATAATTAACGCAGTATGTACAATAAAATCTCTAGGCTATGATAAAGGTTACTGAGGACTCTATGTTATTAAATAAAATCTCCACCTCTCGTTATCATGTTTAGCTACTTCGCACCGCATTTGTAACTCTCGTTGGCGTGATTTTTCCGACTAGTTTATTTTTGTGTTCGAATCAATAATTGAACTTATTAAATTATTTATATATGGATCTCTTATTGTCTATAAAAAAATGTTTGTTAATCTTTTATATTATTTCATACTTTTTAGCACGGACTATAGCCTTTTTTCGTTATTTTTCTAATTATGCATTAGCTCAGTAACAATCATGAATTAAACCATCATGTCAACAGAAAGACGTTTTCAAGTGTCTTTAAAAAATGCTGTCTAGATGCATCTGCTAAGAAGAATTACCAGATACATCTTTAAAATAATTATTTTAATACAATTATGTGTAAAATAACTTTGACGTCTATCCTGTGCATGTATTTTTGTAGTTTAGAGTGTGAAAAAAATTGATAATAGATTAAAATGAGAATGGTACATTTATATAAAATAGAAAGTTTTCACATAGTTTATACTATTAAGTTCATATTTTTCATATAATATATGTTTTATCTCAAATTTCTTCCATAACGAAACTAAATTGAATCATATTTCATTTATAAGAGCGAAATTGAAAACCAAATCGATGATATTGTGTGCTCTTTCCGTATTTTTCTGATTCTTACGTACACGTGACTTGAAAACTGATGTATTATGAAAAGAATTGACTTAGACGAGTGATTAATTTCTAACTTGTATAGCTTATCACAATGTAAAATCATATGAAACAGTCTGTTAAATTTGTAGGTGAAATTGATACATTGAATGAAAAATATCAGGCACAAGTGTACATTGAAGCACGATGGTCATCCGATTTAGTAAGGTTAAAATTAACAACTGAACAACATCGTCAATTAAACGAGGGAAAATCTGTCACCATATTGAAATTTAACGAAAAAAATTGGACACCTGAGCTGTTCATTGAAAACGCAATTGGTGAATTAAAAGAAGTGTTACGTTATACATTGAAGAAGGGTAATACCCAACGAAGTGGTCAACTAATTGAAATATGCGAACATCGTGATCTTAAAGGTGTTTTTTGGGAAAAGTTAGAATGGATCATTTCACAAATCACGTATTTGATTGATAAATTGAAAGAGCCTAATACCGAGACAATGAGGGGGTATACTACCCTTTCATTAAGATTATATCATAGATTAACAGTACATCTGCATCACTTTCCATCGGATGTACAAGAATTAACTGTATCTGTCACTACATCTTACTACGATGATAAAGTCGTGCTACACAAAGATGAATATTATCAATCGGGCATCAATCGTGCGGCATTTGTCGATCAACAAGAATGGATGCTATATCAACATGTTGAAACACAAACAAGATTTACCAAAGAGTATCCGTTTAGAGATGAGAATGATGCAAAAGAAGAACAAAAACGATCAGTATTCTCCGTGACATGTCATGCAGGTTAGTCAAATAACTTTAGAAAAATCTGTATGCCTACCCCTATGAACTTAATCTAATAATTTCTATAATTCAACAACAAAAACTATTATCTGAGAAACTATCGATCCATCAATATGTGATTTTGATAAGAAACATTAATATATCAATAATAAACTAGAAATATCAACTGAAATCTTACAATTGTTCTTCAGTTATTGTGCCTAGTTAAATGTCTAATGTATTTTTAGCTCGTCGTTCAGCATACTACTATTGGAATGGTTTTTTTCTAATATTTCTTATCACAGTTTGTTCATTTTGTACATTTACAATACCACCAAAGTAGGTTGAATCATTTTCTGTATACCACACTAAAAATCACAAGATGGACATAAGATTTTTTATTTTGTATTTAAGCTTACCACAGAGTCGTTTACAGATCGATTGTACATTGTTGTTAACATCGATTACGTTTCGATGGGTCGTGAATCGATCACTGGTAAGTAAAAACAGACGTTCTTAGTGAAAATTACTTACTTAATTAATTTACTTTGTCATTAGTCTTCTGCTGAATATTTTGAAAAATATTATAGAAATGTTAAATTTTTTTTCAGCCAACTATATCCTATTTGACATCATTGGACAAATATGCTATCATTTCAATAACAATGTTGATTTTGCTGTGTATATGGCATTCAATCGTTGGCTCATTAACATTCTTAAACCAACACTATACAAATGTAGAACCACAGGATTTTTATGTTCTCATCGATCGTTACGTATTCATAGGTTTATTTACTATCTATGGGCTACTGCATATTATCATGTGTCTCTGGCTCTACCTTGTTCCATTCAAAAATCGACGACAAATGACCTTAAAAGATGTTAAATACAGACAACAATTGAGATCCAGATTCAGATCAACAACACAAGTCATCCAAATTGCAAATGATTTTAAAACAAAAATTTCTGATGAACAGAAATTATAAAATTATCTTTGAATTATTGATACTAGTATTCGATGATAAACTTTTTATTTCTCTCCATTGTATTATAAACGTATTGAAGACTCTTGTCTATACAATTTGTTAACTATTATATTCTTTCTTCCTAACTACATGAAATTTTAAAATTCAGCAATACGTTTTTGATAAATACACAATTTATGAATTTTTTAGTGTCAAATTAAATTTTTCCTTAATTCGAAAGAATAGTCATAGTTATTATACAAAAAACTTTGCAATCGGTTTGATTTACTTCGTTATATGTTCAAGATTTGAATTTGTGCGCTGACTTGAAATATTCAGAAAAGTCTGTTCTTTTAATACGCAGCATTTGTGACTGTTTTTATCGTATTTTTGATTCCGTATATTGTTCGGATCACCACACTATAATGAATCGCATCTTATGTGCAATAGTGTGTGACTTTCAATATTTTTCTATATTCATTCGGTTATTTGGTTTTGTTATACAAGGAGAATGGGACAATAGTTATAGGTAGTTAAAAATTAAAAGTAAAAGCCTCTTCTTCCTCCACTAAGTTCGGGCGAGTAGTAAACGCCTTATGAAAATATTATAGATCCTCTTCGATAATAGAAAACTATCTCGAAATATAAGACGATTGACAATTGCGCAACATGAAAGTCAAAAAGAAAACTATGGTCTTTTTTTTTCTTGGACAAAAGGAAAGAAACGAAAAAAATAAGAGGATTTTTGCTTTTAAACAATACCTTAATATTTTTCTTTGTCATTTTACGATCTAATTTGACCTATCTTCGTATTATTTAGCGGTAGTGGTTACTCTCAGAACTTTGCCATATAACATTCATATTAAAAGAATTATTTTCGCATACTCATAACCTTGGCGAAATGCTGTTGAAATTTTGCGCTTTTACATTTCTGAATTAAGTAGGAAGATAATTCTGTTTATTCATATCAATATCAACTTTTGAAATGCGATTAACTCGTATCATAGAGTCTCTGATTAATCAATAGCAAAAATAGTAAAAACAAAAAAAAGACAGAGGGAAAAAGTATGCCAACGTCAGTGTCTATACAAATAATATTGTGTACTGAACGAAAGATAAACCGTGAAAAAATCCACCATAGAGCTACCACCAAAAGTACTTCATTCGAAAAAGATCAACACTTTGGGCTATCCAAACATATGTTAACTTTAATATCGACATATTTGAACAAAATCGGCCTTCATGACATGAGCGGCGGGGGGGGCAGGAGCTTAAAGTTGAAGGTAAATGATGTTCTATACAGTTTCGCCGCTGGCTTACGAATATTTTTTTGTGTATGATGTAATATTTTGATTCTTTGTTGAATCGAATAGAACAAGATCTATAGATATAAATTGTCTATCTTTATATCTAGTAGGATTTAAAATAATTACAACCGGGTAGTAACTTTTTTCTATTTTGCTAATGACTAAGCTATTTTCAGTCGGAAAAAATCGATATCGCACAGGTAAATACATAAGATTCTCAGTTATCTACTAATGAAAAATTTGTTTAGAAGCTCTTTACCACTAATGAGCATCATTCAATTTTTAGTTCGTTGCTAGTAAACGATTATAAATACTTCTATCTATTCTAATGTGTGTAAGTGTGAGTGACCTCAAAATTCCGTTTAAAAACAGAACTATTTTTGTGTCTAAAACGGTGTCCTTCTATTTCTTATTTTTTAAGTCTAATTAAAATAAATGACCATGCTCCATAATGATAAGCGTTTTAATTGCCCTGACGCGCCTTGATGGCTTCATTTTTCTCTCTGTCTCACTCATTTTTTATTGATTAGCCTTTTGACATTAATGTTTATCTAATTGAAATAAACGATACGTTCGTTGGTTCTCTGCTCTTTTACCTTAACATGAAGAAGAAGAAAAAAATTTACAATGAAACAGAAAAAGAGAGAAGAAGAAGGTACTATCCAAACCTTGTAAACGAATAATTATCATTTAATCAATTAGATTTTTTGTACTTCTTTATTAGTAAGGACATTTTTGCCTTGCTTATTTGATAAGAGACAGAGCAAGAGAAAAAGAGAGAAAATTTGATAAAAGTGAAACAACGACGACAACATTCGGAAAGATGCAAGGCTTATTTTGAATAAACATTGTAAGTACAATATAAAAGTTTTAAAATGTGAAAGCCGACAATTTTTTAACAAGTTAACTCTTAGATTACTTTGTGATCATTGAACATGAAATATTTGTCTAAAGAGGTATAATCTTGTCAAAACTATAGCCATCTTCTACCGAAATTCATCTGATGAATTTGAACATTTGAAAACGTTATAGAATGTTTACTCTTTTACACAGATGATAAAGTGGCTTGAATGTTGAAGAAGTATACCAAACATGTGTAGTTAGAATTGAAATTACTTCTCAAAGTTGAATAATGTTGAGAATTTTAAATATAAAATACATAATATCAACAAACGAAACTATATGTCATGGTTGACTTGTTCGATTTCAAAACTATGGTGCAGAAGAGAGAAAGAGAGAGAGAGAGAGGAAGGGAAGAAGAGAGGAGAAAAAGAGAGCACACAGGTCATATGTTTAAATTGTACAATATAGTAAAAGACGGTAAAAACGAAAACTAGAGATAACGTAACCATACCGCAATTGAGCGGTATGCGTGTATGTTGATCAAAAATAATGCAAGGTAAGATGATTGTTGTTAAATTTAAACATTATAAAATTAAAAGAATATTTTAATTTAGTTCTTCATAAGATTTTAGAGATCTTTGGAAAGGGATTAGGATAAAGATGTTAATATTTTAATTACCAAAAGTGATACTATTATAAAGTCACTTCACTTTTTATAGTATCATGAACTCAAGTTAAAACATTTTAAGTGCTTTAGAAATGTTCACGATGTTGAATAGAGTAACAGTTTTTATTTTGTAGAGAAGTGTACTACTTCATAGGACTAATTTACAGTTGAAACGAAGACAATAAAATAGAGATAGATTAATCGTTGAAAAGTAACTGTAAATACTGTAGAGAAAAGAGAAATGTATCACGCTGTCAAGTACAGTAGGTTTTGTTTATGCAGTCAGTATAGGTATACTTTCAAATTAAAAAGAAACTATCTTATTAGAGAGAGAAAGAGTGTTTAGCTTGAAGAAATATCTTTCGTCGAGACTGTGAAAAGTCCAACAAAATTTACGTTTAACATGTGTGTTAATTTAACCTTAAAGGTTGTCTTGGTTATTTTGTAAATTGAAAAACAGAAAAATGGAATGAAATTGTTTAAAGTAATAAAAATTATTTTGATACTATTAACGTCTATGTTAGTCTGGCTTAATTTTTTATCTGTCTACCTGTATTTATTGTAATCGATATTTTTTTCATTTCTATCTCTCTCTTTCTCTCTCTTTCTTGAGACTGGGTGGTTATTAATTAATGAATATTAATCAATTTTATCAACAACCTGCCAAACCACAAAAAATGAAGCTACAAGATATTGATGCTCGTCGATTGATTTTATTCAATTTACCGACGGATATTATTCGAGAATATTTGGAACTTTATATTGAAAATTTAACAAATGAAGCTGAAATTGAACGAATTGATTATAGTAATGAATGTGATACGACAGTTATGGTCACATTTAAACAGGAATTAGGTCTGATTCGAATGATTTTTTTTATATATTCATATAGCGTGACATGTTTATTTGTGCATTTAGATCTTCAAGAGGCCAAACGTCGTCATTCAACACGTCCAAAATTAAATAATAATGAAATATCGATTAGTGACGTCTATATTCCATCCACAATCATGATTCGTAATTTACCAGATGATATTTCAAAAGATGTTCTTGAATTATATTTTTCAAATAAAAAGCGCAGTGATGGTGGAGAAGTGAAAGAAGTGAAATTAGATCAAGAAAATCAACATGCACTTGTCACATTCAAAGATTCAAAAGGTACGTCTTATCAAACGTTTTCATTCTTCTAGTTTACTCATTAATATTTTGGACTTATATGTCATAAATCGTCCTATTGTAATGAATTTCTCCTCTCATACGATTTATGATGTTTACATCAAACATGTATATATATTATTTACGCTGGTATTGTACCGTTAATATCGGAAAAGTAAAAATTCAATAATTTTTTTCTACTAAACTGATCTTTTTGAATTCTTTTTTGAAAGCAAACTTCACACACTAAATGTCCCATGAGATTTTCAATTTCATTTTGCCCTGTCTCGCCGGCTAGCTATAGCACGAGGCCAAGTTAAGAGTTTAGTAAAAATCGACAATTTAAAAACGCACAAAATACAAACTTTGTCACAAGCACTTCTCGATCAACGTTTCGTCCGAACAATATGGTTCTATGGAACTTTATGTTTGTTATAGTATGGAGATGTTCTCTTTCTGCAGACAAAATTGTATCCGAGCGATAGTTCGGGAGTTATATCGTAAATATTGCTTTTTTCTAGCATACTTACTATTCTATTTATGAACAGAGTTATAGCCGCACTAACGATAATTAAGAGATTCTCGATAGACGCTGTGCGTTATGGTATGTGAGTCACGATTAAGTGTAAAGGGCACAGTGTCTATGCGTATGTAATTAAACTTGTCTTTATTAATACTAATGTACATAATAAAATAAAGTGTTAGTCGGCTATAATCTAAGTGTAATTGTTTTTGTAGAATACTAGCTAGTTCGTTCGAAAACTACTCGGAATCCGAACTTATCTATTTCACTACCTTCTACGCTCTAGCATACAGCGAGACAGGGACAGATCTACCTAGATCTTGTTTCTAATGTATCCGTTAATACTCAACTTTTCACATCAATTCTCTTATCTTTTTTCCCTTTGCTATGTACAGCATATGCCCGAAGCTGCAGCTCAAAACTGAGAAAAATGAATTTTATTAGAAAATGTCCCGCGGAATTTTTTCAGTTTCCAATGTCGCGTGACATTAAACTTGTCACATCCACATGAAAAATACACTAATTTCCACTTTACTATAAACCATCTGATAAAATTTAGTGATATAATCAAGTCATGTACGTCTGGTAACCTTGTCAGGTAGTAAATGTTTTCTTGAAGCTGGAGACTCTTGAATGATATAATTTCTTAGAAGTTTGTATAAAAGAAGCTTTCCCCGATAATAAAACGTATTGAATCGCACATCATTAGAGAGACCTTATCGAGCTCTGTCGATTGGTATATTAGAACAAAATGTTCAAGGCCATTTTATATCGTTTTTATGACAATGGACTCAAAGATTATTATGTTTTTCATAGCGAAAACCCGTTTTCTGAGAAAAATGAAAGTGACAGTCGAAAAAATTAGTTTTTTATCATCGCTAGGACTATTAGAATTTACCAAGATAGTCAATAACGGTACAATATCAGCAGACGTTGCACATATGCCATTTCTCGCCTCTGTCAAAGCGATAGAAAACGTGTAATTTTACCAATTAACACCATTCTTTTTCACATTGCCATTTTGACGTGATTAAACAGACAAGCTTAAAATGATAAGTAATGAATTTTTTAAACACATTAATATTTATTAGCGCGTAGAAGCCAAAAGTGGAGTATTTCCGAAAAGAGAGATATTTCGAACCGATTCTATAGCTCGTTAGTTATTATGTGTTTAGTATAAGACAAAGGGTAATCATAAAACTTTACGTCTCGTTATCTGACTATGTCGGTTCGCACCATATAAGCGCATATGTAAGGCGTACCAAATTCAAACTTTCTACAGCATTCCAAAACAATAGAAGATCTTGACCTTAATTGTCCTTATAAGCTTTATTATGCTATTCTGTTCTTTAAATAAGTATTCTTTCTTTAAAAAATATCAAATATCCACATGTATAGAAAACCTCGGAAATAAATTAAAAATATCTGATTAATGCGAGTTTCAAAACAAAAGCATATCACCGAAAAAAAAATAAAGTTGGTTTTGAGTTGCTGAAAAGTGCTTTTTCGTATTCAGCACACTTGATAATCCCGAAGGTTTTCTATTTTTCGGGAGGATACTTCCAAAAGTTTAGGAAAAATTTCTAACTAATATTATTTTTCCATGGAAATTTTTTTGTGTCATTTTGTTTGAAAATGTTTCCTAAACTTTTGAAAGTACTTCTCTCCAAAATTAAGAAAATCCTCTGGGTTATCGAGTGTGCTCGATACGATAAAGCACTTTTCAGCAACTCAAAACCAGCTTTATTTTTTTCCCGGTGATATGCACGTATAAAATGAAACATTCTAATTATCAGTGTTACTGTTCGTTATTTTTTCGGTGTGACATTACTGTATCTTCACACAGAGTACTAAAAACCATCGCCAAAACCTCTTTATCATCTTTTTCTGCATCAGATGTCTTTCCAAAAACGGTTTATTAGCAAAACGTTTTCTAGAAACCTTTTAGACATTCCAGTGAGCTAGAAATGTTCTCATTAGATTCAGCGTCGTTTCTTATATGTTGTGCATTAATACCATTGATTTTGGATTAAAAATAAAGACTTATCGAAAAATGACTTACTCGATTTTAGGCAAAACTGCCTAAATTTCATAAAAAATCAAATATCTCAAGAGCGGAAAAGAATTTCGAAAAAAGGAGAACGTACTTTTGTTCTCTGTTGAATGGCGATTCTAATGGCATGTGAAATATAGTTACATTTCTTAACCAAGAAAGCTAGATGAGTTTAAACAAGATGATGTTAGGCGGAGTTGAAGGTCTTTTGACCCCATTTCCAAATTTCTTTTTGACTCTCGAACCTTAAAATATAGTTTTTTATATTTTGTACGAAAACCATAGTTTCAAGCTTTCAGGATGAACTAGGACTGAGTTATACAGTTTTTAAAAAAACCTAGCTGTTTTTCGAAAAGTAAGACCCTTTGAGTTTTTTGCGCTTTTTTCACTGAAAACATGTATGAATAAGGTTAAGACCAATATATTCTTAATCAGCTAGAAAGGTTCTATCGAATGACGTATAATTACGCCAAAAAGAAAATGGTGTGGAAAGTTTGAAGTTGGTGCGTCTTGTTCTGCAGTCTATATGAGGAAAACTATCTATCTCATGAATGACGCGTCTTCACTCTCATTGGTAGTCGACTGAGTGAAACCATAGGAAGCTTATTCTGTTTAACTTCGAGCGTTGCTTAGCAACATTCTTCTTTCTTCAAAAATCAAGTCAAGTGACACATATTTTTAAACCGCTTACGCAATCTAATTTTAAATAATCATTCATAATGATTTGAGAATGTTGATGTTATGATATGTAAGAATTTCCGCACAGTAAAAGACGCGCATTTTGCAATAGCATAGCAAGTCTGTGTTCCAGTACCAAGAAATGAAGACTCTTTTATGCAGTTTTCTAAGGAAAAATAATGTCAAGTCATGTCGTATGACTTGACTTGGAAAATCTGGAGACTTGACTTGACTGGTGAAAATTTTTTATTAGTCTTGACTTGGAAAACAACTTTTGATGACTTGAATTGTGACTTGGAAAACCCGTGACTTGCCTAGCATTGATCAGTATGTAACCTATTTTTCATCTCAGAAGAATACTTGCGACACCTAAGCATCATGTCTGTTTTTCTACAAGTATTGCGCGTTTTCTGTTCAGCCGCTACTGTCTATATTACTTTTGATACATCAGAGACAATATCTCGAGGGCTACGTTTGAGTCCGATAATTTTTCAGATTATTTTCGGATTGTTGCAAATGATTTCTTTTCTTTGTTTGAGTCATATAGTACATCAATCTTGTTGTCAAAAAGTAAACTTCTGTTGCATTTTAATAATGTCAGTTGACTTGGATTTTTATTCAGAAAACCGCCTCACTCACATCTAGTTATAATCTCTGATTGAGAGAAACTACTCTTGATACTTGCCGAAGTAGACAGCTAGAATGCTTAAAAGTTTTCAGCTATTGTATTAGATATTCGATTTTTTGAAAATAAGACTACAATGCAAGTTCGTTTTCCGTATAAATTTTTTATACTCTTCTCAAAGAGAAAGTGTTGTTATTTTAGATTCTTTTTAACCCTTTGGTGCCGGGGCACGCATATATGCATGTTGAAGTTTCTTATCATTGCTTCTATATAACAATAAAATTTGTTTCAGACATTTTTTGAAAGAAAAACCTTTCATTTTTTCAAAAAAAAAACCCGGCGCCAAAGGGTTAAGGAAAGATAAACGAGTAGAGTCCTGCGAGTTTGAGATTTTCGATCCCGATCTGGTCTTGTAGATTTGAAATCCACTCGAACCCGAACGCGCCAGAACTTTTTCGAGATCTTGAACCCGATCCCGATTTTTTCAGATAAAACTCCCCCTAAACCCGCTCGAACCTGAAATATTTTTTGTCTAATGAAGTAGTGCTCTCTTTCATTTTCACGTTAGTAAATTTCTACTCGTAGAGGTAAGGCGCCGCTAATTCAAAAGAATTGCAAGTTCTTATTTTTCACTTAAAACTATATCATTCGATGCAAAATTTCACGGTGATTACGAATATCACCTTTTGAATTGATTTTGATCCAGTTTTGG